TTTTGGGGTGAAGCTGTTTCGATTGCAACATACATTTTGAACAGATTTCCTACAAAAAAGCTAAAAGGAATTACTCCAGAAGAATGTTGGTCTGGTGTGAAGCCTAACTTGAGTCATCTGAACGTATTTAGATCTATTTCACATAGACATGTGCCAGATCAGTTGAGAAGAAAGCTTGATGACAAGTCAAGTCAAATGATTCTAGTTGGATATCATTCGACAAGAGGCTACAAGTTGTTCGATCCAGTGAAAAAATAGATTGTGATAAGCAGGGACGTGATCATAGATGAGTTTAAAGAATGGGATTAGACTGAAAACGTCAAGAAAGATTCAGTGGGAATTCTATTCAAAGAACCAGAAACTCAAGTCGAAAGAGAAGTTCGACAAGAGGAGCCAGCAGATATACCAAGTACAAGCAGACCTCAAAGAACAAGACACATACCTGCAAGATTGCAAGATTATGTGATTAAATCAGATGATGTGATAGATGATGAAGGTGAGCTGATACATTATGCTTTCTATGCATATGTTGAACCTGTTAATGCAGCTGAAGCATTGAAGGATTCGAAGCGGATGAAAGCAATGAACGAAGAGGTGAAGTCTATCGAAGACAACAACACTTGGTCACTTTTCGAATTGCCTCAAGGCAAGAAGGCAATTGATGTCAAGTGGGTATACGAAGTGAAAACGAATTCGAAAAGGGAAGTAACTCGACACAAAGCAAGGCTTGTGACGAAAGGATTTCTACAGAAAGAAGGAATAGACTTCGATGAAGTTTTTACACATGTTGCTAGGATTGATGAGAGTATATTAAAAAGTATATTGTTAGCAATATTTAATGAAAATTTTAATTGTTTAGGTATTTGTGATAGATTGATAATGTAAAAGTTCTTTATATTGATAGTGGATATAAATGGTTATTGACTTATTGTATATGAATTACATTTTTAACTATATAGGTAACCATCATGCTTTCTTCAATTAAATAATCCCCACTTTGACGTGCTTGGTGAAATAATCTTAGTTCAATCATTAGCTGGTTTCTTATGAATTACGTTGATGATGTTTATGTCATCAACCAATATTATATGATATTAATAAAATAATATATTTTTATATTTTTCTTAGATGACATTATAAAAATATTTAACGGCTTATTTTACATCTCCTTTAAACTGTATTATTTTACGGTATTGATCAAAGGTGGAAGACAATATTCCACGCTTTACAGACACGCAATGTCTAATCTATTTACGGTCAATCAAATATTTTCTATTTAGAGAAAGAAGTTGTTTCCACAATTATTTATCATTTCAAATCTTAAAAGTCCAAATTATTTGGTATTACTATTTATTTAACTTCCCAATTGTTTGGCAACCGTTTGCGTTGCGCGTGACAAATATAGATGACTGTTGTTAAATTCTTTCGATCCTAAACCACAATGAACCTTAAACCTTAAATATCCATGTTTATTCTCCGGTCTCTTTCTAAGTAGAGCTATCAACCACTGGAGATGCTTGCTGGAATGGATTTGTGTTTCAACCTTATCCTTAAACCTTATCCTTAAACCTTAAACCTTATACTAAATTTTAATTTTATAACTTTATCCTTTATTTAAATTTTGCTTCTATAATTATTAAATAAATCAAACATAACCCTACAACTTCATCCACTAAATTATTTTGCCAAAATCTATAACTAATAATAAATATATTAAATAAGAAAAAGTAAATATTAATATGATAGATAATCTACTCTTAATATATAAAAACTAATTACCACCATAATTACATCATTGTATAATTAAAATCATTTTTATCAACTAATTTCAAGGATATAATTGTCATTTTATTTTTTATTTTTTTTAATTTATCTTTTTTTCTTTCTTGCAACTGAATTAATTTTTATACTCTTTTTATCTACTCCACATTAATTATTGATGTTTCCAATGATTTTTTTGCAATCTCCAACATTGGGAATCAACTATACATTGTCTAAATATTTTTTCTCCTGTTGAACTTCTCCTGCATTGTCCTCCATGTTTGTATGAGACGGTCCTTCATCTCAAATTCTTCCATCCTTTCATCTTCTTTGTGATTCTTGAGATATTATTCTTCAACAGTATTCATACAATTCTAAACCATTTCTGCCCGAAACAATATTTTTCAACAATCTTGATTTCGTGTTTTGATTTTCATATTGTTTTGTAGAAACCCTAAACCATCATAACAAGAATAGTCGCTATTTGCATAAGCAGAAGATGAGTAGGAGATTTGACTGTGTAAAGGATATTAACGACACAAAGAAAACATGGAGATTGGCTATTCGAGTTATTGATTCATGAAGCGTTATTAATAGCAAATGCGTCAAGCATTTGGAGATGATTATCATGGATGCAGCTGTAACATTTTGCAAAATTTTCAAATCATATATGGTATTGTGAAAAATAACCTTAACCTGTTATTGATTAGGTTTCTTATGTCATCAGGGTGATAGGATTCAAGTATTGATTTGTGCTGATCATACACCAAAATGGAAGGAATGAATTCAAGAAAATATGACTTGCATAATCAACAATGGCATTGTGTCTGATAATGATTTTCAGTGGAAGTTTGTGATCATTCTAAGAAGTTCGTGTTTCTTGGTGGTACGACTTTTAAAGATGTTGATATTCTGAACCTTCCTCCTAAAAGATATTATTTCAAAGACTTTTCAGATATCCTTGAAGGAAAATGTCAGCTTAATAGACTTGAAGGTATGATAATATGCATATGTTTTAATTTTGATGTGTATATTGTATTAACAATGTTTATTTTTGTATCATATTTATACTGATTTTTTTCATTATTTTGTACAGATACATTGGAGTTGTACAGGAGATAAACAATTTTCAGAATAACACCCCGGAAAAAAAGACATTTATTTCACTGAATTTGAAAGACATTGCGTAATATATTTCATTACTACCCTTTTCAAAATATTGGTCGATTCCCCGACCAAGGATGGCTCAGTTTCTAACGATCTTGAAGATTTCGACTGTAAAGTTTACGGAGCTACGCAGTTTTCAAGAACGAAGACATCAAAGAAAGTGAAGGTCGAACCAAAAGATTGAGGATTCACATGAGATTGACATGCCGATAAAATTTGAATTTCCAGTAGTTAATATGTTTTATGCCTATTGTTATGTTTTGAACAACAATTTTATCATTATTCCTTTATTTCCTGTCAGCTTTAACATTCTCCATGCGATTTTCATTTGCATTATTATTAATGAATTGCTTATTTATCTTTCAACACTGATTTGTATTACATAAATAGATTCAGACTACAATATCAAAAGTATGTATTCATGTTACATTGGCTTAAATAAATCATTTGTAATCATAACGAATTTGGTAATAATATTATCCGCCTATAATAAGTGAATCATATAAACTAACATTTTATTAAGTCCTCATGAAAACAACAAATTATTTAGTTGCCAATCTCAACAACAGTTAAGAACTGTTTTCATTTCCAATTGTTAGTATATATGCATAAAAGATACAGTATTGTAAATGTATATCAAGTTTATAGACTAATTTTCCATTTTATTAATATCAACACAATATTTATAAACAAAAGATGCATTGGTGTGTATCTACGTCAAATGAAGGTTTCAATCATTAAACATGCCAAACCCAATTCGCCCATAATTATTACAGTTTTATATTTATGCATTGTTGCCATTTACCAATGCAAAATCATATATGTTAGTTATTATGCACGTTTTACATAAACAATGCATTGCATGCTTAAATTTTAATAAACACTTTGATTACTGCAACATTGAGCTTACCAATATACTATGTTACAATTTGTATCGTATTATTCACCACATTTAATATGCATCATTTAATTACTCAAAAAAAATTGGAGGAAACATTATATAACTCTATAAATTCAGTCTCCATGTTCATCCATTTTATTACAGCTTCTCATATTAATACTCAATAGTAATGGATAAACAAAAAGCTCTTGAGGATGAACACTTCAATACTATTATCAACAGAAAAAGATCAGCAGAGGCCAGACGTCAAAGAAAAATTGTACTTCAATTCAAAAGAGCAAAAAGATTGAGGTCAATGAATAAGGAAAATGCACAACAACCTCAACCAAAAACTGACGAAGAAACATCTCGTATCAGATTACCACTGTCTATAATTTCTCCTAACATCCCAAGATGCAGCATGTCAGCTTGAAATACATTGCAGAAAACTCATCCAACCTCTGTTTTAAATACTTTGCCAAGTACTTTAACTAAGAGACGACCAAAAGTGATGCCTCGCAGAAGCATTAACAATATTGGGGTGAATTTGGCAAAGATATTTGATAATGTGTTTAGTCAAGGTGCTTCTACATCTTCAAACAAGCCGACACAACCAGGTTTGCAAACCAACGAACTTTTTCTACATGACAGTGGAGACGAAAAAAGCAGTGAAGATTATTCAGAAGGTGTGCTAATATTTTTCAGTTATATTTATATCTAATATGTTTATTCACATCAGTTTTTTCTAACTATGATGTTTGTATGAATAATCACAGATTTTAGTTCACATTCTAATTCTTTTATGGATGATGCCGACGAAAGTTTTGTCACCGAAACTCTTCAATTAGATTTACAGATTTCAGGTATTTTTAATGCAGAAGTTAAATTTTTTAACTCAATTTTAATTACTGAATAAAGATTTTCGCTAATAATTATTTTTCATAATTTAGGAGAATACTATGATATAGGTGATCATGTGTTTAAGTGTCGATAATGTGGTGCTAATATGTGGTATTTAGAGAGGAAGAACAAGTGTCGACATGCATCTAATCCTAAGTTATCAATGTGCTATGGAGAACGAAAGGTTCAACTTCCTTTGTTGAGATAACCACCACCAGAATTGCAGAAATTGTTGTTTGACAAAACCAATATTGAATCAAAACTATTTCAACAACAAATTCGTGTATACAACATGATGTTCACATTTACTTCTCCTAGTGCTAAGATGGACAACAAATTCAAAAATGGTAGAGGTCCTCCTAATTATCGAATTCACGGTCAATCATGTCACTGCATAGGAAGCATGTTACCATTGCCAGGTCAAAATCCACATTTTGCCCAATTCTATATATTTGATACCGAACATGAAATTCAAAATAAGGTTGATGGAGTCAGGTTTGTTCCTTTATTTTTATAAATCTATTAATAGTTTGTCAATATATTTCAGAGCATATATCATTTGGCTTATAATTTGTTGCATTTCAGAACCAAAACCGGAGTTGATATTAATATCGTGAAAAAATTATGTTCAATGTTATATGAACACAATGTGCATGCTAAGCGTTTCAAAATGGCGATGGATATACTTGCTGAAGGCAATGTTTCTGACCTAAAACTCCGTCTCATTTATGAGCGATATACTGATGGACGATGTGATCGGTGGAAATAGAACTGACTGTTTTGGAATGCTGGTTCGCAAAATGTCGCGGTAAGCAAGAGTCGCCACCGTCTTTTATTTTCTCCAACAAGGAAAGGACAAAAGCACAGCAAAATTCCTTTTCGAGATGTTTCTCGGTTCGGGAGGTAGATTATAGAAAGGGAAGGTGTTAGCACCCTTTCTATCTGTGGTTATCCACGGGCTCTTAGGTACTTGCTCACTATGTTTTCAAAAATGTTTTTCTTTTCTTGTGTTTGTGGGTTTTGAAAAAAGTTTGTTTGAAAACTTCGTTTTAACTCTTGTATCAGTCCTCAAGAGTGTATGAAGTATTTGTTTGAAAACTTTTGTTTAAAAAGTGTAGGTGCGAAAAGTATTTTTTTGTTTTGAAAGAGCAAGTATCTAAGAACCTCCACCTACTCAAAAGAAATTAAGATGTGTAAATGTCCTTTAGACAGTACTATCCCACTATTGAGAAGTAGGTAGCACCGTCGTCGGAGTTTTCGGGTCAATTCGATTATAGGGACATGTGGTCACCAAAGCAATAGTAGGACACCTTAGCGGTAACCCTAATGTCCTAGATCATTTTTTATCGAGGCAACTGTTTCGAGGCAACTTTTTTATCTTTAGACAGGAGGGCGACCTCTAAAACACCCTATACTCAATGACCACGTCGAGGCAACCAAGTGAGGCGTACCCTAAGAGTGGCATGTGCGAGTGTGTCAGATTTCAGTTATGTTATCTTTGCACATGTTATGGTGAGCTACATTTTGATTTTATTTTGAGAATAAGTCTTGTCATGCATAGCCTAGTTAGCATACGTCTAACAGTTAATAGTTGCGGAAAATAAAGCTAAACTATTACAAGGCGTCGGGTATTTACATCGCCAAAAACAAACCCTTTGAAAAGTAAATTGCGGAAAATAAATGAAAGCGATAAAAGGTCCTAATTAAAGCTATTACATCCTCGGAGCAATTACATAATAATGAATCAAAAATAATAGGAATCAAAAATCACACGCGAGAAAAATTGAATCGGAGAAGTTCTTAGGGTTTTGACCCCTTTTGGAGAAAGAAAGAAGTTTTATCTATTTTGCATTTGATTAAATTAAACCTAGCCTAATTAATTAATTAAACGAAATGTTTTTTTTTGAGCTTTTCATGTTTTGAGGAAAATAAATAAAAAAATGATTAAAAGTTGTCAAGAACCCTAATTCTAATTCATTTTAAATTATTGTGAAAATATTGAAATTAACCTAATTAAAACAACTAAATTAATTATGTTAGTTTTTATTTACAAAAATAATAAAGGGTGAAATTAATAAATAATAATAATAAAAATATTATATTTTAGTTTTCTGAATTTATTATGAAAAAATTAATTGTTTTTGTTAGTGAAAATAATAATAATTAATAATAGTGAAAACAATTAAATATAAAATATAAAAGAAAAAAAAAGAAATAAAACCCAGGGGGTGTTGGGCCCAGGAGGAGGTGTCTTTGGCAATTTGAAGCCCAATAAGCTGCAAGCTTCTTTGACTTTTTGGAGTGCCCACACGTGCATTGACCAGGGACTATGGTAGTCATTCCATCCTGGCCTTCAGATTCGCTTTGCAAGCCACTTGGAGTGTTGATAAGTGAGGTACATGGTGGATCACTTTTGGAAGCCTGCATGTGAATATGTTAAGAAAAGAAATAAATGTTTTTGGGGGACCTGGGATTCGAACCTAGGTCACAGCGTTCATATGCCAACACACTTAACCACTCCACCAACCTGCCTTAGTCATTAGTGGAATAATAAACATTCATTATATATGCAAACCAATTAACATGCTGAAACTATAAAAAACGCGCGCTGCTTTTTAAACTGGCCAACCAGACGTTAACACGTCCTCGTCTTCTTCCTTTGTACCTGTAAAAACAAAATCAGATAGCGGGGGTTTTTAACCCCCACAAACTATAGCGACGAAAAATAGCGATTAGAGCTACAGCAAGCATAAATATTTCGCGATGGGTGGATTATGTTCGTCTGGTCCTCACGAATTCAGTCATATGCCTTAGGAGTCCTAATTTTGCCTGGATTGCAAAGCCCCAATTCAAAGCTTATGAACCCTAAAAATTCAACTATGGCATCTTGTGATTCGGTGCATTATAATTCAATTAAATGATACCATTAGCTTAATATGGTTCCTAGCAATGCAAAACAATCAAGAAATCATGTTAAATGCTCATGAATTAGGCAATACGATTTTGAATAAGAAAAGCAAAACGTGGTTCTGTATTCTTCGATTCCTTGAGTTTTAGCACGTGAATTCAATTGCAAATTGTCCCTGGTACCTCCTGCAATGTATTAGAATCAATAAAACCTTTTGAATCGCCCTGGAATGCCAAAGTCAGTTTGCAATTTTCTTGAATTTTCTCAATATGCTATGGCTTTTTTTCTGCAGCTTTCTCACGTCCATTGATCAGGGTTTGCTTGCATATATATAGAGGAATGGAATTAGGTCAAAAACTTGGCAAAAATCCATGTGCAATGGTGATTGAATCTTTGATTGGAAATCAAATATTTTTGAATCTTCATGATTGAAAAATGTTGCCAATTTTGGATGTTTTGTATCTTTGACTTTGTGCACGAAATTGCCAGCATATATTGACCCTATTTGCTTCACAAAAAGATTGAAAAACCAAATATTGTATTTTCCTACAATTTAAATTAATTAAATGAATTAATATTAATTAAAAATCTAATTAATCAATAAAAATAAGAAAATAAATTCAATTAAGCTTGATGGGTCATGCATAAGTCATGGATGAAGTTTCAAGAAGATATTTGAGGCCCATTAGCAAAAATGAGGTGTTTTGAGCAAAGTTTACTTTTGCAAATTCCTAAAAATTTCCCAACTTCTCCAATGCATATCTTGCTCAATTTTGATCATATGAACATGTTCTTGGACATTTTGGAAATCTCTTGAAGTCCTCTAACCAATTCCTTTGGTCCCATGTCATTTGGATTTACCAATCTCAAGTTATGGCCTTTGACTTAAAGTGCACTTTTGTTGACTTTTACAAATGACCTATAATGTAGAAATTGGTAACTTCTTGTGAGAGCATTTCTTGGACTTGGAGTGTGAAGATGGATTGTAGGAAATTGCATCCCCTTCAAAATGAGCATTGGATGGAATTTTTCTGATGAACCATGAAAAAGTTATGCCCTGGTCAAGATACAGTTGACTTTTCTACTGTCCAAAAATAGTAACTTTTGCATCTTAATGATTTTTGAGCCATTCTTGTGGAATCATGATCAAGACTTGATCAAATGATGATTGTGGACTCAAAATAAGATGTTGACCAAAAATTCTGACTTTTGACTGCAAAATAACCATTTTGCCCCTACAGTTGACTGTGGATCAAATGATGCTTTTGACTGTGCAAATTGGCACTGTGAGTCTTGAAACTTGGCATGTAGGTGCTTGAGGATGTATATGGGCCTATGAGACTTTATTGAACCATTGAAAACCCCAAATTCCTTGAAAGAACCAAAACCCTAATTTTTACTGGCTTAGGAAGTGGTTTGACTGTCTACCTCTTGAGCCATCTTGAGTAATTTGAAGATCATGCTTATCAAATTTTGAGGAATATGGGAGGGAAAATTTTGGGGTACAACAGACGACTATATAATCAACCAACTGTTTCTGAAGTTGCTGGGCTAACTGTCGATGATGTTGATACCGCAAAAAAGAGAGACATTATAATGCAGAAACAACGTGGTCAACTTCAGAGAATAGATGAATATTATACTTCATATTTGGGATTTAAATATCCATTATTGTTTCTGTACGGTGAAGATGGTTATAGGCCTAACATTAAGCATTGCAATAAAGGATCGAATAATGTTCGTATTTCAGAATCAACACCTTTAATAGCGTGTAATAAGGATGTTCCATGTGAGCAAGCAACTAAAATAAATAGGCTAACAATTAGGGAGTGGTTCACCTTTAGGATCCAAGCGAGGAAAAATGAGCCACCGACAATTATCAGATCAAGAAGGCCATTCCAAGATTTTTTGGTCGATGGTTTTACAATGATGGAATCTGAGAGACTTCGATGGCTAAGAAAAAACCAGTCGAAGCTACGAGTAGGCAAGTATCACTATCTCACGGATGCTAGAACAAATGGACAGACTTAAGGTGCGGATACAGGGAAATGGGTTGTGCTACCTTCGTCTTATGCTGGAAGTCACAGATACGTGGTTCAGTTGTACTTTGATGGTATGACAATTTGCAGTTACGTTGGATTTCTTGATTTGTTTATTATGTTCACATGTAATCCAAACTGGCCGGAATTTCAACGTGTACTAGGTTCTGATAATCTAAAAGCAGCAGATCGTCCAAATCTCATTTCAAGAATTTTTAAATTGAAATTTGATGAGTTACTGTCAGATTTGACCAAAAAGAGTGTGATGGGAAAGGTTCTTGCATGTAAGTTAATGTTCATTTGCTGTATTTTATTACATTATTGTATTTTCACTGAATTCTTATGAATAATTTCTGATTTTTTTTCTAGATATGTATGCTGTTGAGTTTCAGAAAAGGGGCCTACCACATGCTCATATTTTAATTTCCCTACATCCAACCAATAAGTATTCAACACCCAATGACATAGATTGTATCATATCGGCTGAAAAAACCAAACAAAGATACTGACGAAGAGTTATACAACCAGGTCAAAAATCACAAGATTCACGGACCGTGCTGGAATGCAAATTGGTCTTCACCGTGCATGAAGGAAGGTAGATGTTCAAAATACTTTCCTAAAGACTTCCAGCGTGATAAGATTTTTGATCAAGATGGATATCCTGTTTATAAAAGAAGAGACAACGGCCACACTATCGTTAAGAATGGTATAGAGATTGACAATAGATTTTTTGTTTCGTACAATTCGAAGTTGTCACTGAAGTATAGAGCTCATATTAACATGGAATGGTGCAATCAAAGTACATCCATTAAATATTTGTTT